CCATTCAGTCGACCCCCTTATGTTTATTAGGTTCTAATTACACTTACAAAGACTAAACTGCCCTCACTTAAGTGTGGGGCAGAGTACTCTAATAAAATAGTCACATAAGCAAAGTACTTAACTGACATGAGATTACTAAACTACCCCTATTCGGCTCACTCTAACAAAGTCATCTTCCACCACATGCCAACAACATTTGCAGCAAGCTATGTCCTTGCAAACCCATCCAGCAATGGAACTTTTATGTATGTAGAGAAGTTTAAAAAAAGAATAGCATCTCAATGAAACAAGCTTCAGTTTCGAATGCAGACATTAAATACCTGTTCTAGTCGCTGAAGAAGGGCAGTTTTGAATTGCCGAACCTTTCTGCCACTTGAACTAGGGTCCATGTTATGTGCTCTTTCAAAAGCATGAAAGCGGCCTGCACATGTAAGCCAAATTAAAAATATGTATGTAAGTATGCACCAATATGTGTGTATAGCAAATTAAAAATAAAAATGCCTGTATTAAAGATAAGAAGTTAGAACTCACAATTGCCATTACTCAATGCAAGCTAACCTACAGAAATATTGTAGTCTTTATTGTTTAAATATTTAAAGAAGCAAGTTATACTTTGTTGTAACCACCAAATTATGAAACTTGGGTGGCTCTACTAAGAAGGACTTCAATTGCCAGTATGAACCTAAACCATCGACGTCATTTCAATTTGAAAGAGAACCAAGTAAGAAGGGAAGAGAAAGATCATTCAGGAAGAAAAACCAAGTCCTCAATGGAGCATTTGGGAATGTTACCAAATGAAATCATTTCACTTTAACTAGAAATAAGGATTGACTGTGACAATGTTAATAAAACTAGAAATAAGGTCATAATAGGATGTGAATAGCTGAATATATTTCTATCTTATCTTATCATTTCAATAGTGACTCAATTCTAGGGGAACAATTTACACATCCAAGTGCTATGAACAACCAAAACTAAACGATTTCATTATATGTAGCATCCGAACACCCATTAACTAAACCAACGAAAAAACCACTTTCCAGAACCATAAAATTAGCTTACACAGGTAGGCCACGCGAGGTGACTCGTATTGTATCTCATTTGCAACGCGAAGGAACCGTTGAATTTCTGAAGACAAAGTCGGAGGCAATGTCTCGCTGTCAAACGGTTCCGGAACGTAACCTTCTGTTCTCGACCTTGAAAGAGGCTTGGGAGAGGCTTTTCTCCTTCTGTGGCTGGACTCTGCAAGTACAATCTCTGCCATTGCTCAAGGCTCCAAAGTTTCGCCTCCCACAACATGGACCAAGAGTAAATACTTCCAATCACCATTGCTTTCTTCTTTTTGGCCTTTTGGTGAACGGAAAGAAGATTTGAACTTTTCCCTTTTTCTCTAGCTTATCTCTCTGTGTGCAGACTGATGGAATTAAATAACATTGAAAAATGGAACGAAGTGGGATGGTGAGATGAAACTTTTGCGGTTCTGTCTGGACTCACTATCAGAGCTGCTTTTTGTAGTGTTTCATTTTCCCGGGAAAAAAAGGGATTCAGTTATTCGGATGCACGTTCTGGTACTATTGAGGCTCATCGAGGCGCACATGTACTCAACCAAGGACAGTGGATCTTAATGCTACTAGTCCGTTGAACCGTTGGATTGAAATCTTACATCAGCCTATTTTACTCAGAGAGACGCAAACAAGGAAATCGGGTCTCTCTGTCAACACACACGGAGATCGGGTTGTTGTAGGAACCGACCCATTTACTCTGACTCTGCTCTAACTAATTATAATTGGGTTTGTCACTTTGTCGTAATCTCTTCATTAGTTGGAACTTGGAAGACAAAGGAACCAAGCAAAGCAATGAAAGGCAAAGGCATGCACTAGTAAAAGCAGTTGTCTTTTAAAATATAAAGAACGAGATGAAACTTTCATCACATGTGGTAATGAAAGTAGAAGAAAAATAAAAGACAACAGAGCCCAATTATGCTTCATTAACAAATATTTGTAATAACATTTGCAAAATATATACTTTTTTATAGGATCGCAAAAATTGGTTTTCATATATTTGTCAACCCAGGTGTATTGGTCCATTCAACGATCAAAGTAACATATTGGATCGTGTCGGCCGATATACATTATATTAATGATAATTTTCTTAAACTATCTCTAAGGTTTAGGTAGGAATGTTTACAAAAAAATTCAAAACGATTAAACCAACTAATTCGGTTCGATCCAATCTGATTTGGCTGGTTTTTTTTCATCACCAGTCGGTTTCGGGTTGAAAAGATGGATAAACTGATAATTCAGTTTGGTTTCAGTTTTCACAAAACTGAACCGAATTGAACCGAGTTATCTATAAAAATATTCTCACTGAAATATTATATATAATATGTATATTCCGAAATATATATTTCAGTTTTAAATGCATTTCCAATAAATATATTCTCACTGAAATATTATATATAATATGTATATTTTAGTTTTAAATATATATATATATAAAGCTGAAATATATATTTTGGAAATGTATATATTTAAACCAAAACTGACCCAAACCGACCTAAATCGACCAAGTCGATTTTGCTTAATAGAGGACCGGTTTTGGTTTAATCTTTAGGTAACCTGACCAGGCCGGTTCAGTTGAAAGAAAACTAGTAAACCGACCCAACCCGACCTACGAATAGCCCTAGGTTTAGGAAGTTGACCAACTCTACCCCTACTATTTAAGTATTGTCTTAAAGTACTCCTATTGTTTTTGACAATTGCCTATTAGATTAGCATGAGGTTCAATATTATGATTAAACTTTATCATTGGTTCATGTCTTTTGTTTTACAATACAATTAGATTTTGCCAATAAAAAAATCAAAGAAACAAGTTTCTTTTTATTGTTTGGCCATAAGTAAAAGAAACTATTATTCCTTCGGCTCAGTTTGGAAAGAGTACAAATGCAAATATGTATAGTGTAAATACATACCAAATAATACAAACTATAAGGTTTTGCACTCTACATATTTGCATTTGTATTTCTTTCAAACTCAGCCTTCGTTTGAAAATAAGTTTGTTTTCTACACCATAATCTGTTTTCCACTTTCAGTGAATGCCCAATTGCCTATTAGATCACCATTGTTTAATCTTGACAGATGTCTCCTATTAATGCCTCTTCTGCTTCAAAAATCAATATGCATCATAAAATAAGATACAATATATTGCAATACTTTTGAATTATAGACTCGTTTGGAGAGTTCAAATCAGCCCCCCACAAGATAGTTTCCCACAATATTTCACAGCACATCCCCGCCCTGTATTGAGAACATCTCCCAATACCAGAAATGATGAAGCATAATCGGGAGATGTTTCCAATACACGGTAAGGATGTGCTATGGGACGTTGTGGGAAACTATCTTGTGGGGGGTTGATTTCAACTGCAGTTTGGAAGAAGTATAAATATAAATATATACAATATAAATACATATAAAATAATACAAAATACAAGATTTTACACTCTACATATTTGTATTTACATTTCTTCTAAACTGCACCATAGTTTGACATGAGATCAAATACTCTAAAATAACAATTTTATAGAAACCATTTGTTCTCCTTTATTTTTTACCGAAACAGAATTGAGGACCCTAATTCATCCTCCCACCATCACTTCTATTTCGGCATGAAGCCTCCGACAACCTTTCCAAATTGTTGGACAGAAATACTTAACGTGCTTCTGGTTCTTTCCAACCAGCTTTATCTGCAAATGGGTTGGAGATGGTGGCATTGCTAGCTTTAAGCTTTTACTAATGCTCCTGTTTGGTGAATGGTGTCAGCTTTATTATGTAAAGCAAACAAAGTTTGTATGATTGGGACATCATAATTAAATAAAGGCAGACACGATTAGGATTGAAGCCAAATTAGTAGAAAGCATGGAAAGTAAAAGGTAAACCAAGGAGGACATGAATGAAGCATTCCCAGGTGGGCAATTCCTTCGTTCCCAAGGCAAAGAAAGAAAGGGGCGGCATGCTAGCATCTAAAAGCTCTGCCCCAACCCGGGGGCCTGGGCCAGCCCGAGGAAAGCCAAAAGGCCCCACCAATGTAAATTGGGGCAGGCAGGCAGCAGTAAGTTCAGATTGGTGTGCCCCACAGAGCATGCCCCATAGGTAAATTTCACCAGGAAATATCTTCTGTACTTGTTATGGGGAGATATTTTCAATACATGGTTGAGATATGCTATATTACATGCTCTGATGCTCTGTGAGGCGCTCATGCGTATTCGGCAGAAGGCTGGCCTTGAACCGTTGAGTGAGTAACAAAGTTCATCATGGTTTTCAAAACCAAACTGGACCGGACGGTTGGACTTGGAAAAACCGGGAACCGGTCAGGTGATTGCTTTCGATTTTTCCCAAAATCATTGATTTTGGTTAACAAACCACTGACCCGGGTGGTTAACCATTCAAACGGTATTGACCATTTTTTATTTATTTATTTATTTTTTGTTAAAACGGGCCGATCGTTTGACCCGGTAACCGGACCTCTGATCGGTTCAGTCTCCGGGTTGGTTTTAAAAACCATGAAATTTACTAAAGATTTGCACTGAAACCAAAGGCTTTGCTAATGGACTGAAATTTTGAAGTTTAATTAAACTGCAGATATGACTTTGCAAAGGTTCATGCAAAAGCCAAAAGTGGATGAAGAACTATGGACTGAGGAATTGAATTAAGGCATGAGCAATCTCGAGGGCTCCTTTGTTTAGTGGAGGCCACATCATCCATCCACATGGCTGAAATAAGATATGATCCACAAAAGAAGAGATAAATTGACCAAGCCAGAGCATTGACTGAATAGGGGAGAAAAAAAGGGTACTGCATGGTGAGCAATGGCTGATGTGGAAGGAGCACTATATGGGCGGCTAATCTAGAAGGTTCTATATGAAATATGTTTGCATTTGTCATGCTTACTAGTGATGATATAGCTAAGTTTGAATAGAGTACAACAATACAAAATACAAGGTTTTACACTCTACATATTTGTATTTATACTTTACATACACTTTGTATTTGTGTACGCTGTATTGTGTCCAACCATTCAGACCCTTTCGAATTTTAACAATTCTCACTCGAGTCTAGGGCTGCAACTCATTGGCCAAAGTTAGCATTTTATGTTGCTTTGGGTTCGGGTTTCAGACACACACAACACCAAAACAAACGAGTGACATCTACATTGTGGATTGAAATTTTCTGTTGTGTCATATTTTCATCCTTTTCTATGGCCTATGCGGTGCAACTTGGGTGAATTAGGTGGGCTTTTGTCAAAAATTGAATGGGCTCGATCTAAAGGCTCATGTTTGAAGCCAGGGGCATAGCAAATTATAAAGGTTGGGGGTCCTCCTTTCTTCCTTCACAAAACTTTTTGCTAAAACCATAGTTACTGGGTGGAAGCAAGGATGGACAAAAAACATAAGAGATCCAAACCCTCTCGTCCTGTTTTCCCTCCAAACCCTACCCTCTTTATAACCCAAAGTCCAAAGATATAGCAGTCCTCTCATCCCTCGTGTCATTTATGCATTTCTAACTTTCTGTTGTAATAATATTTGTGTTGTTTATGTTGTAATCTATAATGTAATTGACTTAATATTAGAGGTGAGCATTCGATTTATTCGACTAAAAACCAAATCAAATAAATCAAAATAGCTACAACCAAGCAACTGATCCAAAACTTTGGGTTCAATTTTTGGTTTGGGGATCTCTTTTCCCATGAGGATGAGGTTGGGATTTCTAGTCTCATCAGGAGTATGGGGTGTGTATGAGGCGATGTATATGTGTTCAAGGTTGGGAATGAGATATGTAAAACCCGGCCCATCCCCACCCATGTTGACATTCCTAAATTTGACTTCACTTTGACTTGGGTTAGAGTTGTTTGCAACTTGACCGAACCTGAAACCAACTAAACTATTGTTATTGGATCAAGTTGGGTTAAATGGCCTTGCGTCACTCTCGCCAATATCATTTGCTCGACCCGCCGCATTTGTGGCAATGTCGACCCGCCACATAGTAGTTGTGGCTACACATCTCTAGAGTAACCATCTATGATTTAATTAGGGTCTTAGCTGAAGACCTCCATTTGCCATTGGGGGAATGCAGAAAGAAAGATTGGTAGTGCGACGGTGGCTTGTTCTTGTTAGTAGCATATGGATCAAGAACATTCTTCTTTCCATAACAATTTCTTGAGACTTGCAAGCAAATGAATCTCCCATTAGCAGTGTAGACAATACCAATGGTATAAGCCGCTAGGATAAGGATAGTTTGTGGGTCTTGAAGGATGGGTTCAAATCTTGAATATGATATGCTAGACCATTGAGAATGTCTTGAGAGGGAGGTCAGAAAGGTGAAGCCTCCAAAAATCCTTGCCATGGTTTTCAAAATCAGACCGAAAAAACCGGGAACCAGTCACTTGACCGGTTTGAAACAGTTTTAGCCGTTTT